TCCACACATGCCCGCAGGCTCCAGCTGCTTGTATCTGTCTGTGTGTCCTCCATCCCCTCCACTTCAGCTACCCAGAGCCTGTGCCCAGGCTGCCTGTGTTTGGGCGGGGGGGAGGGGGTTAGCCCCAGCCTTCCAGCACTTATGCTGCTATGTATGAGTTCCTTTGATGTCCTAGTGAGAAATTATCCTACTTGTCTTGCATTTAATTAATTCCCCTACTTTTTTTTTCCTCTGTGCACATTCTGTATCCTAACCATTAACTGTTGTATTCCATGGAAGTACATTTAGATATGGGCTGAAGAACCAAGTGTGATACGGCACAATGCTTCACTGCGTTGTCTAGGACAGAATTTTTATGCCCCTTTGGGGCAGCAGCTACTCCACAGATATAGTGTTTGAACTGAGAGATCAAAATGCATATTGTGTAAAATTTTTAATCAACCAGGCATCAAAGTACAGTTCTATCAAGCCAGAACTTAAACAGCTCAAGGCCCTGAATATGAAAAACAAGACCAGAGACATGCAATTAAAGACAGAATGGATTTCAGAACACTTTCAGAGGTTATGCTGGATCAGAACCATTTTATATACTCAGTTTTACTTTCACTTGGAAAGAAATATTGTAAATGTGATATGAAAAAGCATTTAATAAAAACATGGCCATTTGGGGATAAATTAATTTAAAGCCTGGACAGGAAAAAAAGTAACTAAATCCATCTACTTTTGTAAGAGGCAGGACACAAGCAAATTGCAAGAATTCAAGTTTGATCAAGCAAAGGGTATAGAGGAACATGACAAATGTTGGGTGCCCCAGAAGAAAGGGTATAAGACAAGAACTAAGGAGTCTAGACCAGGGGTGCTCAAACTGCAGCCCACAAGCCAAATGTGGACTAGCCCACAGAGCCATCATATCTGGCCTGCAGGGTTCCTTGTGAATTAGAAAATTTGGGGGCAGGGGAGCAGTGGCCATTAATATAAACACCTTCCCCCACTGCCAAATTCTCAAATCCCAAGCCCCATATGCCAGATCTGAGCCAGGCCACACCCACTTCCTTCCTTTCCCTCCTCCCCCCATGGGGCCAGGTTCCCCTTTCCCCACTGCAGGGTTGGGTTAAGCCCCTTCCTCCTGCAAGGCTAAGCTGTGCCCCCCAGCCCAGGGACGAGGTGAAGCTCTCATCCCCTCCCTATGGGGTCAGGCTCAGGACAAGCTACTCCCTACCCCCATCTGTGTGGGCTGATGGTTCCTGCCACGCCAACCTTGAGTGTTAGATCAGAACCACCAGCCAGCCCATGGCCAGACTAGGTACTGCCCATCTGGCCTACCAGGGAAAAAGGTTGAGCACTACTGGTCTAAACTATTTTTTTTTTAAATCAGTTATGCAATGTTGGGCAATTTATTTTACCTCTCTGCCTCAGTTTTTCCATATGTAAAAATGAGAATAATGTTTGTTCATAATGAGTTTTCAGATTTGCAGATGAAAAGCCCTATATATTAGTTAGGGCATATTATTATTATTATTATTATTACCATTGCCTTGCACAGGGCGTTAGAGTAGATGATCTTCTGAAGTTGCCTCCAGCCCTATTTTTCTCTGTCTCTAGACTTTCAGTATGGAAGTCTATCATACTTATGGTAGAGGCAAGAATTTTTGTGGGTGATATCTTTTATTGGACCAGCTGCATGGTTGAGAGAGACCTGAAGAAGAATGTGTTGTCTAAGTCTGAGGGGGAAAAAAAATAATTTATGGCAATTATTTAGGACCTGATAATCAACTGCTGTCCCAAAGTATGCACTGAAGCTCCGCAGAAGGGCCTTCAGCCCTTGACCATTTGGGTGATGAATTCAGATGACTATTATAATTTATGCTGGCTACCAATAAGTTCTTAAATGACAATGGACTAGGATGCCATGACCATGCCACCAGTAGCCTGAAGGTTAGAGGTGCTGTATACAAGTCACAAAACTAGCTCTGCACCACTTATAGAGAATCCTACAGTAACCTGAGATTACAGATTCACCAATGGCAATGATCAGGACTTTGAACACAGCTTGTTGGCCAAGATCCGTGTCTATGTTTCATAGCGTCTGTATGTTTCCAACAGCAGAGAACATTACAGCCCAGAATCAACACTAAAACCTGAAGTACTGGGAGTTACCTCATGTGTCTGTCCTAAATTGTGAGCTGGTATTTATTTCAGCTTTGTTATAAATCCAATTTCCTCCTAAGCACGTGGCCAAACTCTACATGCACACTTGGAAGGAACTGATAACACCTATAAATTTTCCACTCAGAAGAATGAAAACAGTAACATGCTAGAGATGCTGGAAAGGGTAACGATATTAAAAAAAGAAGTCACCTCAGAATAGATAACTTCTATGCCCTGGTCTAGACAGGCTTCCAATAATATGTCTGTATGGCATAGTGTAATTCTATGCACGTATGTAAAGAGAGCCTACCTAGTCTTCAGGAAGTAAGCTGGTTCATTGTGCATCAGACATAGCATAAAAACCTTTTGATCACAATCTGGTGAACTTCTCTGGTTTCCAAGTGTTCTTAACATGACGCACAGCCCAAGTTCACTCATATTTACGAATTTCTTATAAACAAATGTCTGACTTACATGTGAACTCACAACTTCTTGTAAATTGTGAGAAATCTTGGACAATTTCATGGTTCCAGGCAAAAAAAAACCCCAATAACTGGAAGCAAAATTTGTTCAAAATTAGGTGCACTCAAACGGGAAGTTCAAAACAAAATTTCAGGGTGTCAAATTATGTACTCAAGGCCAAGGAAAGCTTATATAAATCCTGGCTAACTGAAATTGCTGAGATTCATGTATCTAGTTGCCCTTGATTTGGTGTAGCAGACATGGAAGGGGTCTCTGGGGCAGACAGGATGGCAGGATTCTGGGGGGGATTCTTGAAAAAAACAGTTTGCCAAAAGTATCCCTTATAACACTGTGCTGACTCCTAAGACCCCTACTGTAAAACACCAGCATTATTGCCACAAAAAATTCTTGGAGGAAAATTAAATGAAATATGGCACTGCAAGAGAGAAATGGCTAAAAATCCCCACTGTACTATATTAATAGCTGTATTTCTGTGTGTATCAATTGATTCAATGTTTTTCTTAATGAACTTGAGGGCTCAAATTAAGCATTAGTTATAGAGGCAGCTGCCTAAAATCATTTGGATTAGATGCCCCTGTATTAAGTACCAAGTAGCAGCTAAACCATGAAGCTGTGGGTACAAGTTTCTTTCAGATGAGCTAGCGATAGTGGTCAAGTAAAGCTTCTGGTGAAGAGAGCTTTACCCAGAAGTACAGCAGTGCAGTTTTGTGCCCTACATTGCAGTGGTGCAGGGGAACACTGGGCAGCAGCAACAGGCTTGCAGGTGGCAACTGCTATTTTTAGGCCCCTTAAGTCAGCACCCAGGGGCTGGTGCTTTATTTGTCCCCCCACCCCCCCTCCCTTAATTACACTACTGGATCTACCTGGATCACATTGGCAGCAAAACCTCCCACTACCCCCTGAAACCATGAGATAAGGGGAACCTAGGATAAGAATTTGTGAAATATTAGATCCAGATGCAAGATTTAGCTTCTTTTAAGAAAGGTTAAGGCAGAATATAAATACATTCTGTACAGTGCATTAAGGGTGTAAACTTCAGAGCTTTTTAATTTAAAGAGCAATGTTGGAACAAGAATAGGCATAACTGTCTATGAATTAATTTAGTCTAGAAATTAAAAAAAGCTTCTAGGCACCAGAGCAGTGACAGCCTGCCAATGAGAACCGGGGGGAGGGGAACGACACACAATAACAGACACTTAACTGGTATCAAGATAGAACTTGGTAAATTTACTAAAAGGACTGTATAAACACTACTGCCCACAGTAGCAGGGTACTGATCTGTGACAGATGAGTTCCCTTCTCAGTCCTCTATCTCAGCAGCCAGCAACATTTTACAAGCCATGTGCCAAA